AGAGTTGCTAATAGCACATCTCAAGGTCACTGCAGTTCAGTGCGAGTCCAACATCCACACGCGACTATTACTTGCCTATTTCCTCACCAGTAGTAATAACTAGCGAAAGTATTATACTTCCACTTTACGCCGATCTTCTGTGAGATCGTGGTACTTACCCGGACGAGCCTGCCCATTCGTGCAACAGCCGAGGCTGCTGCATGGCCCTACCACCGTACATTTCGTACGATTCCGTGAGTACACCTAATTTTTTGAACCACATATTGGCATATCATCTGGAAATATCTTCAAGTTTAGGTTCAAATGGATGACGGATCGTAATGATTTGTTTGTCGTATGTATTTGTAACACTGCAGTTTTTAGATTTCACTGAAAACAAAATATGTTGAATTGATTGTGATTTGAGTCTTTAGACCTTAATAAAAGGTCTTGAGAGATACAAGTGCTTGCTATCAAAAAATTGTTTTGTATCATGGTTTACAGGGGATTCCATGACTGTGAAACTTAAAAAATTTCGATAGATGATCTGGTTTTCTATACTAATGCATTCTAATCATATTTACCATCAATGAAAAAGGTACGTTACATGTGGTGATTTAGCTTTAAGAAAAGCGTCTGCGTGGCTAAAAAAGATTGCTTTGGAGATGACCTTTTTTGCACCGACATTGTATTTGCAACGCGGTGAGTATACATTGTTATACAATTTAAAGCTTGAAACAACGGATTACTGGTATTTGTTTGAGTGACAGATTCCATAAACAATATTTTATAACCGGTGGGCCAGCCTGAACCCACGGGTTTGGGCCCTCCGCTGTGGGTAGGGCCGCGCATGTGCTCATGCGTGCGTTTAACTACGACATGTCATCTAAGGGCCATCGAAAATGCGGTGCGGACCGAGACCCCGATGGCCGTCGACTGTGTTTTTAGCTAATCGGTGGCTGGGGGCGGTGAGAACCGCCCTGGAACGCGGGTGTACCTTGTGTACGCGTTGTGTTGGTCTCGCCGTGCTCGGAGGCGAGGGCGAACTAGTGTGTTTGTTGTTGCACTAACTGTGGGTGTAGTGTTGTCCGGCGGGACCCCCGGCGGTGGGTCCGGCGTATCTAAGTCCCCTTCCTCGACCGGGTCGATGAGGACGTTTCGCGGGCGACGCTTGTTGACGTTCGCGTTTGTGTCGGGTTGGTAATTTGCTGCGCTTACCACCAGAGGGTTGGGATGATGTTCGGCTCTATCGAAGAACCGTTTGGTCAGGTCTTTAAAATATTCGCGAATCGTCGGGAGTCTGCAATCGCTGTGCAGATCGACATTGCAATTTTATATAGATAGCGACATAGTGAACATATGTATATATATTAGTGTACGATTGGGATAGTGGTTTATGTTAGGCATAAATAATACAGATTAACTTTAGGTTCAATACACTTTCCTTAACTTCTCTGGTGTTAGGACCTAACAAAGGTCGTCTGGTAGATAATGCTAACGGTCCGTTTGCACAAGACCGCTTTTGCACAATATTTTGTTTTCTCTCGATGAAAAATTATGTACACAAAACAAATCTTACATGTCACTCAACCAAACCTGTAGAAATAGTGATAACTGAGGCTATTAACGTTTCTCCGGTATTATTTGTTTTGTGCCCGTTATTGTAATGGTCCTTAGGGTCACACAGAAAAGTGAAACAGCGTTTAGTTAACAGTGTTTTCTTACTGAAAAGGTCAATGATATTATATACAAACACGAGATAGATATAGACCTAGCGCGTCGAAATCCCGCCGGATAACACTACATCCACATCTAGTGTAACAACAAACACAATAGTTCGCCCTCGCCTCCGAACACGGCGAGACCAACACAACGCGTCCACAAGGTACACCCGCGTTCCAGGGCGGTTCTCACCGCCACCAGCCACCGATTAGCTAAAAACACAGTTGACGGCCATCGGGGTCTCGGTCCGAACCGCAACCTCGATGGCCCTTAGATGACATACCATAGTTAACGCACGCATGAGCACATGCGCGGCCCTACCCACAGCGGAGGGCCCAAACCCGTGGGTTCTGGCTAGCCCACCGGTTCTGCGTCAGATGAAGCTTTAATAGTCTCGGGACTGAAATCAAAAAAATAAGTTAATACAAGAATACAAGACAAAGCGTCGAAACTGAGGCTAATTACGCCTATGGGTGTAATTAGACTGTTCCGGATCATACGTTCTATATCATCTATCACATTCACTTATACATGTCATATAATGTAAAGCGGAACAAGTTTTTAACGTAGCGCATTATGGACATGCGTCATCTATCTATATATGTATATTAATACGTGAAGCAACTTAGGACCCCTTTTTACGAAATTTGCGCGGACGGAGCAGTATTAAATTTCCAACACTTATAGTTTATATGGAGAAGGCGAATATTTAAAAAAAAATTATGCATAAAAATACTTTAAATCAATAAAAAAACATTACACACACTACCATGTTTAATTAGTTGTCGAATTTCGACCAGGGGGCGAACACTATTATTATTAAAACAACACTGGAAAAGTTGATAAACGAACAATAACTTACCAATCAGAAATGCACCTGGAAAGAAGAAGAAGGATCGCCGCTGACGGACACAACACCCGAGGAATTAGGTCCCTTACTCTATACAAAAACTAACTACTCCATACTAAAACCTAACCTGAAATCAACGACAGCTGATTTCAGGTTAGATGGAAAAACTTTCGTGCTTGGAAGGTGATTCGTTAAGTGTCAAACAGAGTCTAGAGCCCTTCGATGACTGAATAAATAAAATAAAAAAAAACAAAAAGTAAAGTAACAGCCTATAAATGTCCCACTGCTGAGCAGGATATCAGGGCATAGTCCACCACACGGCCCACTGCGGATTGGCGGACTTCACGTATCTTCGAAATATTTCTTTTTTGTTATTATTTCTAAAATATGCAGGTTTCGTCACGATGATTTCCTTCACCGCCCAGCACTTAAAATTAACAATTTCATTGGTGCTGGCACCGGGGATCGAACTCAGGTTGCTCGAGTAAATTGAATTAAAGTCGAGCGCCCGGACACTGAGCTACCACGGGTCTAATAAAAAAATAATAAAATAAATACTTTAGGACATCTCTAGTCACGCACGTGTCATACAGTAGAGCACATGATAAATCAGCACGTAAAATTACAAGTTTCGTTGGTGCCGGCACCGAGGTTTGAACTCTAGTCACTCGAGTGTATTGAATTAAAAGCGAGCGTCTGAGCGCTGCGCTATCACGGCACGACCCGGGTGATAGCCGTAAATGATGATAGAGTTCATTGAACTCAACATCCTATCGGCAAGAATGAAAACACCAAAACTTCGGTTGAAATAATAATTTAATATACTACACATAAATATTTACATTTCATTAACAAATCAAACTTTAAAAAATGCTTCTCCATTAAATCGAGATTATAAATTATTAACACAATCAATTTTACAATATTGTTCACGGCTTGGAAGTACTCTTCCAAGGCAATCGTGTTTTAAAAATTTAATAATTACAATTCATTTAAAAAGGCCGGAAAAAATAAAGGCACTATTAAAATCTACAATATATCATTCAAACGTGACCTTCGACGTCAGCAACTTGAATATCAACAAGTCTTGTAAATGCCTCCCGAACGTTACTTTATACTCATAGTAACTTAACTGCTATGCTAAGCCAATAGGCGAAATGCTTGGCTCATATTATACATAAGCCAAATAAATATCTAGCAAGGCTTATTAAGCCACGTGTTGGTAACATATGAAGCCATATTATATTCGAAAGTTTAAATGCTTCTATAGAAAACGATCATGCTGCCGTACTCATCGACAATTAGGACTTTCCAGGTTACTTTCATAAGAGCAGTTTATTCGGACCACTTGAAGAATTGTCAATAACACTTAATTGTATTTAAAGAGTAACAGTTTTAAATAAGACGCTAATTGACGTCTCTGAGTGCGGCAGCTGGACCGTTGTCCATCATTAACAAAAAGCGTTTCTCTATATAAATTGGAAGAATATCATTCAAATTGCAATAGTTTAATTAATCTAATGGGTACAATTTGTTCTTATATTAAGGAGGCTTGAGATTTCATAATTAACCTTATTTCAGAGTATAATTTATACCATTAGCATATTATACAAAAGTTATTATTACTTTAAGAACAATAAATATAACTAAAACATTTTTATAGTACAGACTAAATCGCATAATAAAATTACAGCTTAACAGGACGGAAAAGCATCTTAAGTTTTATTTAAATGAAACTTCTATGTACAGAACTATCGATACACATTTGTATATGACACCACGAAAACTTTAATTATATTTGTTATTCTAACTTGTGATTGACCTTACTAAGATAATTTAAATGCGACGCTTGGGAAGGCAGTATCTCGAAATAAGTTCAACCCTTCAGTTTTCATACACACGTACGTTTTCATACTCAGACATACAATAATTTTGGAATTTAATCTAAATTGTAAAAGATATATCGCTTGGTGGGCCCACAAGCACACTTCCATCGTGTATAATGTATACTACAAATATTTTGACGATAAAGATGGTACATAAAGTGCCGTACATATAATGACCACTGCAGACTCGCTCTGGTCTGAATAGGGTCTTAAGCAGTTTACAGGGTCTAGTATGCACGAAAATTACACACGCGAGTTCAAATGTTCGATGGTTGGAGTTTTGAAAATAACCGACTAACCAAAGCGCATCACGTACACTAACTTGCATTCGTCCACGGTAACGGAACTGCTGGTTGGAGTTTCCGAACCGAACCATAGTGCATCTCACGTATAGCACCTCTCATTCGCAGGCCACGGTAAGGAAACTGTCCAACTAACCCTAAGGTCCAGACTTCGTGGTGTCCTTCCTCATCTCTTCGCCCTTGCTCCGCGACATCTTGGAATATATCTTAGTAACTTGCATTCACAGTCCAAGGTAAAGAAACTGTTCAACACTAACCCTAAGGTCCGGACTTCGCGTCCTCCTCCCTTATCTCTTTGCCCTTAGTCCGCGACAGCTTGGAGTATATCTCGTCCACGGTCTTGTTCCTCGTCTCCGGGAAGAATATCACGGTGTAGAAGGACGCCGCGAAGCAGACCACAGCGAAGAACAGCAGCGTCCAATGGATGCCGACCATCTCGCTCAGGCTCTTGAACCACTTCATCTGGACGAAGTTGCTCAGCTTCGCGCAGATGTTCGCGAAAGACGATACCGTTCCCCGCAGCTGTAAGGGCGAATATTGTTTGAGAAATGTAACGAGGGTACAAGATGTAAAGTTATAAGTTTTAGTAAATTATATGAAGTGACCGCAGAGAGACTGTTACGTATATAGGTCTTTACAAAAGACTATTGATATGACGAAGACGATGAAATAATATTGTATTTGCAACGAAGTTTAGTAACCGGACGCTGAACACATTGAAAGCCGTGCAAATGTTCCTATTAGCTAATAAAGTTCTGATTCTTATGAAGAAATCATGAATAGACAGGCTCTCACGGGTAACTACCATAATCTGAGAGAATGCCAGCGTGAAGAGAAAGTGCGATATACGCTGGTGCTTTGCATCTGGTGAGTGAGCCAGCAACGTCACTAGAGATCCAATCGTTTACGGTTACGATAGTCACTTACTATAGGGTATGGAGCTTGTCAAAGAAGAAGCCCTTGAATAGTTACTGTTTGAAATGACACCACATTTAATTTCGCTACAAATATAAACCTGGAACGTTAGCAACGGCCAGGGCGGCCATAAACGTACCTGGAACGTGAACAGGTCCGTGATGATGATGTAGGATATCGGCTGGAAGCCGGCGGCGTCCGCGAAGATGCACACGCACATGGCCAGCACCGGCAGCCAGCCGGGCAGCCAGGTGCCCTCCGACGTGACGTAGAACCACGCCGACAGCGTGAGCATGCCCACGCCCATTGCCAGTGACGTGGTGATCAACAGAAGCTGGAACAAGCGAAGGATCGTCGTATGAAGAAGAAGAAGAAGAAAAAGAAGAGACGTTCATTCACGGTCTAAACACAATGAATACATACAACACAATATATAAAATAATATTGTTTTTTTTTTTCCAAAATAAATGTTAATATAACAAAAAAACGAACAAAATAACAACCATAAGTGAATGTCTGTGTAGCAGCATAAGACCGTGAAATTCGTATTGTAGTGCTGTGCCGATGCAATTAGCAAAGCAACCACCCACGAGCGTATTTGTATTTTGTGTGGAAGGGGTTTCATAATAAGCCTCACCGACCACGGTAACCCAGAGAGATCTGTTGTACTATACCCTTCGAGAACATTTTGCTCTTACTGTAGGATATTATTATCCCGTATATAAATTTCACGAGGACGAAAACCTAGATCAGAAGTAATTATCTATGGGACACACAAATAGTTCTTTTTTTTTTTTTTTCGTGCGGGAATCGAACCCACGGCCCCCGGCGCACGGACTCATCTAAAGATCGTTACGAAACACGTAAAACAAATGTAACTCGAATATAAAAAGTTTAACTTCAGTTTTACAATCATTTCGTTTTTTTTAGTTCTAAGTAATTTTTTTGGTAACCCATCCTAATCTTTTCGTCATTATATATGATATTCCTTGTTATAAATTCTGAGATAGTTGTTTGTGATAGTGTGAGGGGTTTTGATCTAACAGAATATCAATGAGGATTATTTTTATGGTCAATCTTTGGTTACAGGTAAAGTAGACTCACAATGACCTATATAAACCTTTTAAGAGATAGATACGATTAAGCGGCAAGTTTTTGATTGTCTTACATATTTACATTAAAGAAGGCAAATTTAAGCACAACCGCTAAGAAATACTCTAAAATTGCACTAAAATTAGAAACGCTCACCTTTCGCCCAGTTTTCTCAACAATGCACGTAGCAACGATGGAGCCCAGCAATTGTACCACTCCTATCATCATGATCTGCTTGTTTGGGCTCAGTTTGAGGCTGATGTAGTCAGCGGCCCTCTCGAAGACGAAGCCGGCATATATCAGTACTATCAGGTAGCCATCGAACTGCTGCGTTATTTTGATGACTAAGGTGATGATGAACGCTTTCAGCGTGGGACGGTCGTGAACTGGAATTTAAAGAAAGAGTATAAGTAAAAAATCAAGGACCCAGTTTTATGAAGCTTTAATTTTATTTAATTATTTACCCTTTATGCACAAATAGTACAATGGCGGACTTAATGGGAGGTACAGAGAAAATTTTAATTTTAATCTTACTTTACTACGTCTATGGACTGAGAGGGAAAAAAATCTGTTCGTTCAAGATAAAGGATAAACAGGAAAACCCGAACGTATAACGAAACAATGCTAATAGTAAATGTCTGATGCCCGAATCGCCTGATGCTATCTTAATAGCAAATGAGCAAGAACTTTACCTGATGGTTATGACGATCATCGCCTCTTCTGCGCAACATCACAGAAGTTGCAGATGTGTCACCAAACATTTAGAGAATTGGCCTCTGTTTCAATCACTCATAGCACTGGCACTTGGCCGAGTATTTCCCCGGTCTAATGGCTTATTCCAGCACCAGCAGATAATGGTGCGCCTTCCACTTTTTGTACCAGATATTTCCTCATGTGCCTAAATTACTTACTGCTAGGTTATAAAATTTCTTTTTTTTTGTATAAGTATGCGGTTTAACGTACTTATAATGTTCCAGACAGATTTTGAGTCAGCTTGGGTGCGTTTTTCTGCCTTCACGATACGGTCTATGTCCTCTTCCAAAGAACAGTCTATGGTGCTGACGCCACGGAGCCATGCGAGTACAGTCTTCGCTTCCTGTAAACGAAAACGAAAAAAACACTGTGCTAATAAATATAATAAAATAGTTTTAACCTTTTTCGAAGAAAAATCAACGTAAATTGTTACAATGGTATTTTTTTTACAATTATTAGAATATTAAAAGGATATTAAGTCGAGAAAATTCTTTCTACATATAAAGACGTGATCGCTATAATTATTATATACAGAGGCGTTGCAATAATTATTAAAGAGTTTGTCTCATATAGTTCTTAGTAATTACCGTATAATAGTCGAATAAAAGGTAATATAATATATTTTATTGTATTTTGATTTCATTTAACTCGAAGAGGAATTAGTATGAATGTCTTGTGTATTAACTGATGTTTTTGCTTTCAGTCCCGAGACTATTAAAGCTTCATCGGACGCATGACGTATGAATGTCGTTCGAGGAGGTAAAGCAAGAGGAAGACCGAGAACGATTTCGTTGTGTGAATGTGTGTCGAATGTGTGTCGAATGTGTGTCGAATGTGTGTCGATTGTGTGTCGAATGTGTGTCGAATGATATCTGTGAAAGGGGTGATTGAGATGACAGCTGATAGAGGAGAGTTCTCGAAGAAGAAAAAAGAAGAGATGAAGAACTAGGATCTATTCTATTATAATTTCCTCATTATTCTGCGCCTACTGATTTATTGTAGGCAATTAAACAACACTGAATGTTACTAACGATTAAAGATGAACGTTAGATTCTTTTTTTTATAAGAGAAGTTGGCAAACAAGCTGGGGGTTCGCCTAACATTAAGTGATAACCGCCGCCTGTTGACATTTGTAATAAATATAAGTTTCAGTATTAAGTCTGCCACAAGATGAATTTAAACGCAAAATTAAAAGTGAACATAAAGCTAAGGCGTATTAAGCCATTGCAGAATATCTTGACGACGCCAATGTGTGGGGTTAATGCTGTTGATACTCACGTAGGCTAAAATGACATACTTGTTCTATTGTAAACTAATCGTTTTAAAAAAGAGCAACTGTTGAGTTTCTTGCCGGTTTCTTCTCACAGAAACTGCTTTCCGAACCTGTGGTAACTTACGAACGTATTAATTTTTATGTAAAATTTTTGACATTTCATAAGAACACGCAAGCGTCTATGTGAATAAATATATTTTTGATTTTGATTTTGATTTTGATTTTCAGATGCGGTGCACATTTTAACAAAGTGGGCCCCGGCTACCTCACTCACCAGACGAAACGAGGAAGTATAATACTTCCACATCACGCCGATCTTCCGAATGTCGCGGTATTTATGTAAATTCTGTAATGTTATTTAAGAATCAGTATAATACAATACAATAAAAATAATGACGTGTCTTTTTGTCCTATCGAACGTGTTTACCATGACAGTGTAGTGGAATTTTATTTCACCCGTCAACGAGTTATAGTCAAGCAATTAAAAATAAATGAATAAGCTTACATCGATCTTGCCTTGTTTGACTAAGAACTCGGGCGTTTCGGGCATCAGCAGGAACACGAAGAACACCACCGTCGGCACGGAAAGACCTATCCAGAGCATCGTGGTCGCGTCCAGCAAATCTGCGCCCACATAGCTCGCCAGGTAGCCAATGTTCCTATAACAAGAACAAGATCTTTGAGCCACAAATGACTTTAAATAATAATTAGAAAACAAGCCATTACTTTATAGTTAGTGGAAACAAGCCTATTACCGGCGGAAGGGGGAAGTATCAAAATGTTCTGTGATGATGAAAAGGTGATCCGCCAGCTCGCTTGCCACCTTCTCACCAGGGTCTGATTTAGAGGTCTGGAGGCTCAGGGCAACAAAGGAGTGTAGGCCTCTTGGCCCCAAATTATGTTCAGTCGAGTTTTCCAATAAATGATTTATTGTGAAACCAAGTATAGATTATTTTATTATTTAACGAGCATATAAATATAATCCGAAACAAGATTATGGAAAAATATGAAAGGAAAAGTTATTTACTAGTGTTTACTAGTCTGAATTTGAATTTTTTTTCCGAAGTCTATATTGTGGGGGCACTCTTTTGTGGAGGCCCCAGGGCTGTAGCCCCGGTTGCCCTACCCTAAATCCGGCCCTGCTTCTGACATAAAAAAGATCTCTGATGACACAAAACGTTTAATGTAGAAACATCTTCAATAGTCCATGTATTATGCATTTCCTAATCTAGTTCCAGACCATTCCGTGACTCTGAGTTCGATTCAGATGATAATTGTGAAACGCAGCACGTAAAGTGGTCAAGACTGTGCAATGACTCTCCGACTTTGCTTTGACTTAAATTAAACTATGAGTCGAGTACAGAGCGAGTGCAAAAGTATTTAACATTTATTTTCACATCAAACTTCGAAAGCTTAGTGCAAATTGTTAGAATACATGTGTTTCCTAATTACTTGTCATATTTATTTTATTATTTAATAGACACATCAACAATTCTTACATTATAGATTACTACGTCACTATGTTATAAGAGTTTTGAGATATTAAATCCTATTACAGATGTATACTAAATTGACTACATATATGTTACATAGTAAAAAAAATATATCAAAATATTTTAACCATGAAGGAGATATTTACAATGAAAGAAATCAAAACTAAAATACGAGTATAAAGAGACGTTTATTATAACATGTTTTCTACTTGAATTAAGAACATAAAAAAACGTATCGTAACGTACGTTAAGACGTAAAAGCACTCAAACCTGGGTCTCGTACTAGTTTTTTTATAACATAATTTAGTTACTACATACTACATTTAAATCTACAAATACATCGATTAACTGGCAGTGTCGTTTAGTTATATTCGATGCCTATGTGTATTACTTTTCATTAGTAATCTAACATCAATTACATCTTACTTATTTATTACATACTAGCGGAACCTTTGACAGACGTTGTCCTGTAAACACGACTGCAAACCGAATACAACTTATAAATGAAAAAATAAACAAAAACTGTAGACCGAATTGTGAATCTAAACCATTCTCGAATCGTGCTGAACACGCATGAAATTTCATTAAAATCGGTCCAGCCGTTTAGGAGTAGTTCAGTGACATAAACACGTACAGATAAAATATAAATACAAAGAATACACTATTTAGGATTTCACTGTGGTAGGGCCGAGCAACTGGTGCAGGAATGGGCAGGGTCGTCCTGGGTACAACGGCCTTGCAGAAAACCGACGTGAAGGGAAAAGTTTATACTTTTGCGTTTGGTCAAGTGACTAGTGAGGTTAAGTGGAATCGTATATCACAACATAGTATAAACAAAGTCGTCCCGCTGTCTGTCTCTCCCTATGCTTAGATCTTTAAAACTACGCAACTTATCTTGATACGCTTTGGTTTTTACTAGATAGAGTAATTCAAGAGGAAGGTTTATATGTAATGCACCCGTGCGAAGCCGGGGCGGGTCCCTAGTATATGTTAAAGTGTAAATCTTTATAGCCACCCCTAGTACTATTTCAAGTTTCGAGGTAACGAAACACCCTTTGCACTACACTGCAGATTTTTTGACGCTGTATTACAAAGAACGATAAAATCGATGTTTAGTGGATAGCACCAAACACAAATTTTCTTCGTCTACTATATATTTATGAAGGTACCTTGCCCCTTTTTATCATTGCAGAGCGTACAAGATAACCGCAAGATGAATTTCGAAGGAATTAAGTTAATGCGAAGGAAAAGTTTAACAGGAAGTTGAAAACCGGATCGTAAGTATGGCGCCATATCATCATTTGAATTTTTAACAATATTTTTTTTTCAGTTTTAGGGTACCAATCTTTTGGTTTCGAAAGCTAATTTTGACGTTATTTTAATTTTATTATTCCTGAAACTACAATTATGGTAAACCTCAGTATATAATAACGTAAGATTTTACTTTAATGTTAATACTAACAATAGAATGAACTACAAATAATATTAATAACAATAAAATAAATAAATAATAAATATTTTAGGACACATTTTTACACAACATTTTCAAATCCCAAACTAAGCAACGCTTGTACTATGGGTACTAAAAAACTGATAAACATACTTAAACGTACTTTTCTTTTGTCAATAAATACATATTATACAAATATAAACACCCAGACACTAGAAGAACACCATGTTCATCACACAATATTTTTCCAATAGCGGGGATCGAACCCACACCCTCTGGCGCAGGAGGCAAGTACACTACCCACTACGTCATTCGGGTCGTCTAATTAATCTACAATTATAAAAACAATGCGATTATACAATTTTTTTCGTATTAACAAGAACTAAATGCGGTTTAGCATCAGAGCCGGTCCGCGTATAAGTTGTAGACTTGCATACAGTGACACAAATGACATAATCTGAACGTACCTACGTGCAGAAAATAGTCCAATACGGGTGGTAGAGTAATAATAGTAAACACTATTAGTTTTATATTTTTGTTCCAGTCAATTCCATCGACATTGGTATGTTCGTCGATTAAAGTTTAAATTACATGTTCATGTATATGGGTTTAAAAAATGCATACAGTCAGACATAAAACCTCCTTCTTGTTTTAAGTTAAGTCGGTTAAATAGTATATAACAGTGTTCCATCATGAAAATTAGCAATTTAAAAAAAGAAAATTAGATCTGTATTTTTCATACCCGTTACATGATATAAACGTTATGTCATAAATATCTTCCAACTTTTTTTTTCGTAAAATGTTGGCAATGAAGTAATTAAAAAAAATCATTCTTTCACTAAAGGATTGTATGGAACCTATATCTTTAACCTTTAGCATATGGAACTTATATCTATACATTTATGAAACATTCAGTGTTGACTAAAATGAGGTTTAAAAATAAAGTAAATAATTCGGATTAGCTTCTTTTTCTAAATGAGCTTCATTATTAGTTTAACTAAGAACGTCTTCTACGTAATATTCAAATTTTATTTGCAAAACTTCGCAACAGATACTCACGGCCTTGATCTATCAAACGGTAATCGTAACATGAATACGTATTATTCACAGATAAAGAAACAAGTTGAGCGCGTGCCTTATTGCCTCTTTTTTTTTTTAGTTTATACAAACAGTCAAAGACATTCATAAAGCACATTATCCTGGTATCATAAATACATATTACATTATTAAATACAAAAACTGAACATTAAAATATGTAGAAAAAGTGCGAAAAGATTGTCGCCGCTGTGGGAATCGAACCCACGTCTTCGGCATTCGCGGCCTGACGCTCTAGCCACTAAGCTAAACGGCTGATTACCACACCGACGAAAATCTTAACGCATTCTTCTACATTGTTTTCTTAGCATTTGAAGCAATGCTTGGCGTCAGGCCGCGAATGCCGAAGACGTGGGTTCGATTCCCACAGCGGCGACAATCTTTTCGCACTTTTTCTTCATATTTTAATGTTCAATCTTAAGTGCAAAGATTAACACTATAAACAATTTAAATTTTTAAAAAAGCAATGGCGACATCTCTCGTTCGAATTATCGTTGTAAAACGATATTCGAAGTTGTTTGTATGCTGGAAAGGATATAACAATAGATGGCGCCAAGCATTGCTTCAAATGCTAAGAAAACAATGTAGAAGAATGCGCTAAGATTTTCGTCGGTGTGGTAATCAGCCGTTTAGCTCAGTGGCTAGAGCGTCAGGCCGCGAATGCCGAAGACGTGGGTTCGATTCCCACAGCGGCGACAATCTTTTCGCACTTTTTCTACATATTTTAATGTTCAATCTTAAGTGCAAAGATTAACACTATAAACAATTTAAATTTCTACAAAAACTGGTTGAAAGAGAGAACTTATAAATAATCATACATATGACATAAATAAAAATATGGCTAACTAAAAGTAAAAAAACTTAGTGGGACTTGCCTAACCGGACTAACTAGTCCTTTATGTTCAGATTTGTATTTGTGCCATTTGCTATTGAAACTTTAGGTCCGTGGGGTCCCTGCACATCAAAATATTTTAAAAGTTTATGTCCTAGGCTTATCGACGCAGCTGGTGAAAAGAGAGCTGGTTCTTTTGAACATGAGCGAGAAAAGAACAGTCTGTAAAGAGAGTATCAGGACATAGTCCACCACGCAGCCCCACTGCGGATGACTTCACATATCCTCGAATTTCTTTGTATCATTATTTCGAAAATGACCGTGATCGGTCTGCACTTAAAATTAACAATTTCAATTGTGCCGGCACCCGGGAGCGAAATCAGGTTGCTCGAGTATATTGAATTAAAAGCGATCGCCCGGACAGTAAGCTATCACTGCTTTTACATAAGGAAACTTTTGGAGTATGAATATTTAATAAATGAGCTCTCTTATCTAAAAAAAAGTTCGATTTTTTTTTCTTTTATGACTATTAGAAAAAGTTCCCGTAGTAGGTTAGTTGAACAACGTTAACGTTGTTATTTACTTTATTATGAAATCGATTAGAAACAAACTTTGGAGTTACTTGATTGCAACATACATCAAGACTATGACTATTTTTAAAGACATGAACAAAGCCTTTTAAAGTAAATTTAATTATTTTGTTGTAATTTCTTGTATTTACGCGATTACAAAATTCAGACGTCCAACGCCTCAGTCTGTCCCGTGACCATGAACGCTGTAAAGGGTTCGAAACGTCGGGTATTAAAAACAAAATAAACGCGATAAATCCGTAAACATAGTTTCATTTAGTTATTTTGTTGTGTTGTTTTTTTCTGTTTTTATCATCATGCTCTTGGGTTTTGCCGAATTCTACGTAAACATCTCTTAGGGTTTACCCCGTGACGAGTTCGTTGCTTTTGTTGCTTTTTCTATGCTTTAACGATAAGGAACCGGCCATATTCGATATTACACACATAATGCCGAATGTAATCTAGTATAGAATTGAGACTGATTTTGTGAATGTGATCATGGAATCGTTGGTGGTGCACGACCCTAAATAACAGACCGTTCACTTTTACCTTGAAGGGTATCATTGACCATGAGAGGACACTCACAACACCAGAATATGTATCTACGAGTAACATGTTGCCAAGCTACCTCGTGTATGCCTCAAGTTACCTCAATTAAAGACGAAACGAAAACACATACACAGTTACTGTATTAGGCCGGAGATTTGCCTCAACGCACTGGAGCATTATAAGTTATTGTTAATCTACCAAAATCAGTGTCTCAATCTCTGTACGCTTTACGAACGATGAGATGAAATACATAGTTCGTATTGTCTATGACACAAGGAGCTTATTGAACATTTCGTCGGATGGTCGTGAAAACTACTTGGAACAATATGCACTCATATTGCATAAAAATGTTAATCTATTTTGGCCTCTGTTTTGTAAAATTAGAATATATATCGGTATTATATGGAATTTGCGAACCGTAGACTACCGTTTTTAAATAAAAATCAAATATGTTATCCAAATATGTCTGCAAAATTATGCAGGAAGGCGACGAATTCTTGAATAATCGGCTTATGCACGTATGTACATGTTCAGGAAGTCTAAAGATGCTACAATTGCTCGCTTATCAATGCAGGAAATCTAAAGATGCAAAAATTAACCTAAGTATGGTCCTGAAAAACTACGCTGGCTAATTTTGAGATTGACGTTGAAATTACGTCATAATTTTGACTATGCTTTCTCTGGATTATTACGCAAATAAATCTATTAATATCGCTGTCACCTGCTTGTTAATGCAGGCAGTGTATTTGAGTTCTTGCAGAAAGTATATTGAAACCTTTAAGACGCTACTGTTCATGCAGGGCCAGGAAGTCTACAAAAACTGCAGTAACTATTTAAGTAGGAAGTCCGCAGAAGAGGCCTTTTCATGCAGGAAATAGACAGGTGCTGAAACGACCAGCCTATTTTTATTATCTTCACAGCACCATTATAAAACTGGCCTAAAAGAAATATAAAAAAAAAAACAATTAATTAGTGAGCAACATTCCCCATTTTTTTTTTATTTATTAAGCTCACCTGCAGATGTGACAATAAAACTTTCTTAGGTCATCTATACACTGATCTAACTGCTTAAAAATAATTGCACATCCAAATTATAGGCAAACACAACTTTGATAGATTCACGTGTTTTTTATGTAAGTAAAAAATAAGGAACAGAGAAAAAACAATACAACTAAAACAAAAATATGAAAATAAAAATCGAATACAGCTATAGAAATTATGTAGCAATTTAACTGTATACGTAGAAATGATCTACCTACTTATCCAGAAGTCTAAAGACGAATGGTGGATTCTGCATCAACCCGCCTATTTCTGCAAGAATACGTGCATACAAAAACTACTTGCCCGTTTATGCGGAAGTCGATTGGTGCGGTAATTAACTTGCCGAGTATTACGAGCGCTGGATCTTCAATGCGTAATACGTGTGACGTTACCACAAGTCAATCCAATTATGATGGAGGTGAACTGGTTATCATTGTATAATAAAACTAAATGTATCTAAACTCAATTACATGCATCTGTTCTAACGGTTTCGATTGTCCTTTACAGTGTGTCTGTAGTAATTTACGTAGAAACTGGACATTTAGGAGATTGATTTGTGATGCTAGAAGGAGACAAAATATGAAAATGTATTACCTCTCACCTGTTCAATATAAGGAGCGATCCGAGAGCCCCTCGGAGGTCTATGTCGCTGATCTCCTTCAAATAGATTGGCAGGACGATGTAGCATGCCGAGCAGGGAATGCCGGCTATGCCTCGGGCCAATATCACCGCCCAGGGTTCGAGACTGAACAGCTTGATTTGCCAGTAGGCCTGCGGGCGAATTACCACTCCATTTATATCTATTGCCGACATTATTTATATGAGAAGGGTTTTTATATCATGACACGTTATCCTTACTTTAGGATAACATCATCCCTTTACTTTATTTCACGCCGACAAACACCCAGATGCGAAACAACAACATCATCCAGGAATTTAAACAGGCCCGTTGCCCTACGAAGCGAAATATATTTAGGTGCGTCGTCTTTCTTTAGTAAGATCTTCTATTGTTATTCGAAGTTTGGATACTTTACAAAAAAAATTGCGTTAAATTAGTTGTCTTTCCCGAAGCACAATGTTAACAAAATATGAATACTATAATATAATATAGATATGAAATATAAATAACAGCTGAAGGACTGAATTTTTAGATTTATCAGTCTCAGTTTTGTAGAAAATAAATTTTTGTGAACAATCATATTATCACAGATCATAACAATTTTTAAATATTTCCTTTGTCTGCTGTATCAGGTCGAAATTCAAATTAGCGTTTTTTTATCATAAAATTTAACGTAAAAAACTATTTAGTGTACCTTAGCATTCCACTTAATACGGTTAGTTCGCTGCTATGCTAATGCTTAACAAAATAAATCCATTATTGATTTAACTCTAGGTTTTTTTTATTCTTTATTGCATACAAGGAAATATAAAGAAAGAAGATACAGTAAATATAGTGTATATACAGGCGGCCTTATTGCTAAAGTAGCAATTTCTTCCAGGCAACTTTAGGGTACAGGATATAGATAATAAAGTTGCGGGATAACGGTGCGGTATAATTTTATCAGGATAGACTATATGATGAAGTTTCTAAGGATATTTATTCTATTTTCTCATGTATGTGTATATACGTATATGTTGTGGGTTCTTCATTCACACTCATCATCACTTCACACCCCTCTTTTTCTCCTATACATATACCTTTGTGGGGTCGGCCAAGTTGTTTTTTTTATGTGATAAGATGGCAAGCGAGCTGTCGGTTCACCTGATGGTAAGTGATAACCGCCGCCCATGGATATTTGCAACAAGTATTACAACTATAAGTTGCAAAGGCGTACCACCTTTTAATGAAGTGGGCCCCGGCTACCTCACCCACCAGACGAAACGCAGAAGTATAATACTTCCACTTTACGCCGGTCTTCTGTGAGGTCGTGGTACTTCCACGGACGGAACTGCCCATTCGTGCATCAGCGAACCATGTGTGGCCCTACCACTGTTACTGGTTTTGGGTTGGTTTTTTATTTTTGGTTTGGTTACGGCCTTACGTCAATCCTCCATTGGAACAAACACACCGACATAATTACATGTGGTTCGCTTAAATACTTGTCCCATTCCAGATTCCATTGTAGTAATGGTATTTACAAGTCGTTATGAAAACTAAGAAGTTATGTAACTAACGGCCTTTCGTTGAATATAGGAACCGGGCATCAATCATCACCAGTGAGTATAGTTCAGAATATTAACAATTTAAATACTTGGCGCTCCCTAGCTAACCTTAAATGAACCCAATCAAGCCTTTGCTATTGAAACTTATGATTCTATTATATTTCTAGCGTTAAGGCCCATTTACACGATACCATTTTCTTGTACATACAAGAGCAATAATTGAATGCAATAAATTGCGCACAATAATTGTTAAGACCATTTGTTGTTTAGACCATGCAACTCATTTATTGCTTCAATTTAATTGTATACAACAGGCAAGAAACTGGCACCGTGTATGTAAATGGGCCTTTAGCCTGCACCCAAAAGCACTTAGACTCCCTTTTTTGTGGTATTTAAAAGACTAAACATAATACAGCAGGAAGGAAATACTCCAGTTCCTATTATAAAACGCCTACAGATAAAAAACTATAGCAGTATGTACAATGGTGACTCAAAGAATGGCGGAACGGTGTTTTGTTCTTTGCACAGTTGATTCTCTATTCCTTGTCGAAGACAAACACATTTTAAGACCGATTCCTTTTAAAGAATCGATTTGAAGAAACATGGGGGTGGCGGGGTGGTTGTATATATGAATAACGATTCTATATCTTTCTATATATCTAATATACGACTAGGAACTACAAGTGGAACATCAGTATATGATATTATTCAGGTAAAACAATGACGAAGAACTGAGGTAAAAAGAAAACATTAAAAAAACTTCGCCTTTTTTGAATTCGATTAATTTTATCTCTATTTAAAATTTTTAGGGATTCATCACTCTAAAACCGTTCCTCTAATAAATAAATCCGTTAATCAATGAAATCATACGGAATGGAGAACACTGGTAAATTGCGTTGTTTCTTTATTCGATTGCAAATTACGCGTTCAATTGCAACAATGCGGAAACATGCCAATCGAATTCGTGTCAAGTATAAAAATATTTTAAATGCAAGTATGTATAGTTGTTGTATACACTTTGCCACTTTTTTGCCTGGCGGAAAGTAACAGGACACTTCATAATACATTAACCATAACAACCCCTGGGAATGAGATGATCGCTTCTAAGCTGTTTCTAAAACAAAATATGTACTGTATAACTATGTATTTGTTGAGTAAACAAAATGACAAAAAAGAGGATACCTACGGAGTTTCTTTCGCATGTTTCTTCTCCGTTAGAGGAACCTCATTACAAAACGGTGGTATATTTAAAAAATGACTATCGATAAATGAAATGTATATTTCTTATTTCGATGAATAAATGATTTGAATTTTGAATTTTTTGATTTCAAAGACGGGAATGCTGTGTGAATACGCTTCATTACAATGATATTATATACAAAGATATGACACTAGCGCATCGAAATTGAAGCACTCAAATTACACCAATTGGTGTGATTAGATAGCAATTCGTTATACTGCTATCTCTTTCCTTACCATACGTTCTATATCAACTGTCACATTGTCTATATATATATAATCGGAATCTCGGAAACGGCCCCAGCGATTTTCATGAAATTTAGTATGTGCGTAGATTCGGGGACGAAAAATCGATCTAGCTAGGTTTCATTTGTAGAAAATGTCCTTTTATCCCTGTTTTCAGGGAATGAAAAATATCATTCGGATATGACGGTAAATTTCGCCGCAAAAGAAAATGTTATAATAGCTCGGTCGGTAATCGGGCGGCCCCAAAACAGACGGCCGTGGTTCGTGTCACGATCATTTACATTTACACACTCTTTTTTTCCTTTTTTTTCGATACCAGATCGTTGCTTCCTTTATTTTTTATTTTTTGTTGATCCAGATGATTTTATTTTTTTTTTCCTTTTTTTTTAAAAGTCGTTTCTTTTGTGAAAAACACCACTTCAATTAGGTCGTTAAGATCGAAAAATATTATGCATATTTCATTACTCAGTAATTTGTATCTGAATGTAATTTCCAAAATACACGATTTACAAAAAAAAAAAAACAAACCGAGCAAAGCTCGGTCTTCCAGGTACTAACTATTAAACTGAGATTATACATGCAAAAATTTGTGCCAGCCTTATAGCGTAAATAAACCCTTCGCGCCGCAACCGCCGGTGGGTAAAACATTGCTATGCTATGCTATGCTAAAAAAACGCAGGTCCTTCTTTATTTTATTAAAAGTATTATATTCATTTATCTACAGAGAAAAATATTACTTATGATGGTGCTGTTCAAAACAGTATTTGAGACTTTATATTTGTTTTTGTCAAAATTTATTTATCCAATATTTACAACATTAAATCTGTCTAAATAACATATTATTCAATAAAAGTTGTTCTATCTTTTGTTAAAATAGTTCAGGGAGATTTTTTGAGAAATGCCCAAATTTACACAGGAGGTTCAGACTCGGTAGTATAATCGTTTATTGAAATAAAAAACAAAGTTATTTTTCCAAAAAAATGCCATTCTATTCCCTAAAAAACAGAACGTGTTGATAATGCGGTAGTCTTTCATAAATACCTAAATTTTACTGTGCACGAACTTGTGTGCGTGTTAGTTATGAATGATTGCGCGTAAAATAAATGAGTTGCGTATAAATGACAAACTTTTTGAGATAAGTTCAAATGAATGTAATTCATTACTTACGAGTGATTTTAAATATTTATTAACATTATTTATGTCTATAATTTAATAAAAAAATGGATACACTTAGAAAAGCCACCCTTTATAGTACCAGTAAGATAGACAAAGAAAAAGGAAACCTTGATGAAATTTGAGTTTTATGTTGAACTTATATCCTGGATTGAGTCAGAAAACTTATTTATCCGAAAAAAAATAACTGTTTTATGTCCTAAACTTCAACGCAACCGAAGCCGCGAGCCAGTTACATTAAATACAGCCGAATACCAGTTAATGTATTCACGTTTGGTTCCGTCCTTGACCGTTTATTGGAACTGCCAATCGCAATATCAGCAACAGCGGATGTGAATCAATTTTCAAGGCTGTTAACCCTGTTTACAGTTTTTTAGGGCGAATTTAAATATGCCGATACCTTTTGTTTTCTTCTGTGGAAGGAACGGAAATAAAATAGAACTGTTTTTTAAAGATCTCAGTGTAAATTTATTAGATGTTGGTCTTCTGCATTCGCGGCCTCTTTAACCACTAAGCTAAACGGCTGATGGCCGCACTTGAAGGCCGAACTTGAATTTAGCATTTGAAGCAATGCTTGGTGCATCCATCGTTATGTCCTTTCCAGCATACAAACAATTTCGAATATCGTTTTACAAGGATAAATCAATAGCACTATAAACAATTTAAATCTCTAAAAAAAAAAAGATGTTGGCCTTATATTTAATGTATTGGCGAATCCCAAAAGTGCAACAATAAAACGTATTTGCGGCCTTGTTCGCAACAAACAGTAATTCCAGGTTCAATAAATCTCTAATTTTACTGCTGGTGTTGCAAATATCAATGGGTGGCGGTTGGGACTTAACAGCAGGTGAACCGCCAGCTCGTTTGCCGCCTTCTCACATAATAAAAGGACATGACCTACATCCTTAACAATAACTAAATTCATAGGTCATGCAAACACTTGTGAAGGCATCGAGCACGCTCAATCGCGATACCGGAGATACTAAATGTCCCAAAGAAAGACTACAGCCCCAGTCAAACGAAACGGGAAATTAGGCCAAAAATCGAACCTAGTACTAACCATGTATAAGTATCTAATCAAAACTAATAACTCTTGTTAATAATTTGCGTCTCTACTTGTCTATTTATGACGTGCTCAATATTCAATTTATGCACAATTATCTTTAATTAATTCGTACGGTCCATTACTGGGGTTTTTATTCGTGATCTTGACGGCCACCTCGTGCCGTCTAATGAGTTGTTGTTATTATATTAATAAGATAACTAGGAACAAAACAGTTCTTATGCCTCAACAGCAGCCTGCTACAATACTTACTCGTATATTATAACATATGAATGTGCTTGTATGGACATGGCGGATCAAAGAAGCATGGATCGAGGAAAATGGAAGTCCAACCGTAAACAAGTGGGTACCATGTATGAGAGCTTGTGCATGTATGAGATTTTGAGGTAAATATGACACTAGCGCAGCGAAACTGAGGCACTCAAATAACGCCAATTGGTGTAATTAGATTGCAATTCCATATACTGCTATCTCTTTCCGTATCATACGAACTATATTATATTTTACATTCACTTACTTATAAAAGACAAATAATGTAAGGCGGAACAATTTTTAAACGCCGCGCACTATGGACATGCGTCATCTTTATTAAAACCCAATTCGAGATTGTGTATGTAGAATTCATTTTTAACGATTTTTTCGCCATCTTGAAATTTCATCGTAACGTTCAAGCCACTTTACAAAAGCCTTACTAATTAAATGAATGACGCACCTAAAGCCTCATTATAAATTACTCCGTGCATTGTAAAAAACATGTGATAATCAGTTCGGTAGCTTATGAGTGTATCGCGTTCAAACAGGCACATACAAGGTGGGGGGGGGGGGGGGGGGCGACTTTGTTGTAAAATATCTATTGATTACAATTTCAAAGGAACGAACTGTAAAAAAAACCTACTTCAAATATCTCACTCACTATCTATTTTCTAATTGATTTTGAGCAGGTACCCGATTTTTCTTCGGAGTTTAAGAGCCAATACCAATGAAGTTACGCGGTAAGCGATCACATGGGAGCTGAATCGGAACCGATGCGATTATAATATGGTTAATTGAAAGGACTGTACTCACGATAAGTGACAGGGTTGTGATCAAAGTCATGATCTTCCTCCCGTATCGGTCCGTCAGATAGCCCATGGGGGCGCCGAAGATGATGGCGGTTATGTACGTGACGGACGTCACCCAGGATATGTCGGTGCTGGTGAAGGGCTCCGGCGAGGGTCCCCCCGGGGACTGCAGCACCGATAGCATCGGCGACAGCCACCCCTGGACCATCCCGAAGCTCAACAGCGGGATCGTTACTGCGAATAGACGAAAAGGCCCAGTTAGCAAAGGCTTGGTCCATTTTGTTGGTCGATGTAATTCGATAAGTGAACGAATTATAACTCTACTTATACTATAAAATTATATATTACTCAGATATTACTTAATACTATAAAATTTTGATTGTATATTCATATTATTATTTCTTTAAGCGAAAACAACAATTGCACCACACGAAAAAGTAATCAGGGGCTCCTAATTTTTGCCTAAACATACCTTCTTAAATTCGTTTTAACTTCATTTCGTACGAAAACCCTGATAGATACTATTTGCTATTTTAATGTGCGATATACAATACTTTGAAAACACTAAACTCTATATACTGTATATAGACGCCTGTCGTTACAACCGCGACTATAAATTAACACACGTCTAACGCTACTTGCCACCAATCATAAAAATTATAAACGTTAAAAAAATCCATAACTTAAAAAAATATTTTTCAAACCAACTAATTAAATAAAAAAGAAACAAAATTTGTAACATATATACAACTACAACTGACTGATTAGAGACAAGAGACTTTTTCATTCGTTGCCACAGCGTCGCATTACAAATATCTCCTTCTAACAGTATGTTTTATCTCTTTTTAATTCATTCAACCCATGCATATGAATATGAATTGTGACCTTTACAAACGAACTTTACGTTATAGTTTTATACGTAAGGGTGTTCTAAAATTGTTTCTTTTGGAAATTTTTATAACTCTGTAAATATTGATGTTTAAAGAATGTAAATAACAATTTACAATTGTAAAAAGTTATCCCCTTTATGTGTGTTCATTTATTGTCGCGGTTGTAACGACACGCTGTATACGTATTAAACGATGGAACGCATGCCCTATTACTATCATATACAAATTATATGTAATACCTAATACCGGCGATAAGGAATGATAATGTCACATAAATCGTGTCCGTACCATGTTACGTATACTGCAGTAATGGCGTCTAACAATGACAATATTTTCCCCTTCTTACGGCCCGATTATGAGCCATTATGATTCATTATTGACAATTCGATTGAATGCAATACATAAGCCGTGATTACAAATATAATTTGTCCTATGAATGTTACATAAAAACCGCTTTGACTGCTTTGAATGCATTTAATAAACATAAGATTATGAGTAACTAAAAAAGTGGAAAACACAAACAAAGTTTACACAAATTTAATGCTACAGTATACAAAAGAAACGCAGGAAAATAATAGTGGGTATTTTAAAGGGTCGACCATCATTGCTCGATTTATGGTCGATTAACATCCTCAATCTCTATAGCGTACAGGTAGCTATCAAATTCGATATGATGAAGGACCTTCAACGACCTAGATTAATTTTCGATTGGGCGTGTAGTATGTCAAAAAGTACGCGTTTATTGCATGCAGTGACAGCGTAAAGGGGGGACCACCCCCACCGTACCAGCAGTCACTTAAGTTGCCATGATCATAAAACCACGGTCACATTACTAATACACAATAATACAAACCACAACCACTATATTTGTTCTAATATATAATCTAATTATTTATTTTAAAACTTTATGCTCAATAGCTCTTAATGGCCGACTTAACACCATTAGGTGTCCTCTACCAGCCAAGTGACAAATAAAGCTATAGAGTTTAGAAGTTAAAGCTTATAGCGTAGAACAATATTACGGTATTTAAATGTGTGACTAAAATGTAAATTGTTGAAAAATTTTCGTCGTTTCTAAACTGCATCTTCTGAGTTACGCGCGCAGGCGCTCTAGCCACTGGGCTAACCAGCCTATAATTATCCTCAAGGCCTATCTAACTATGTATTTCTACGGTTCCGTACCCAAAAGGTAAAACGGGACCCTATTACTAAGGCTCCGCTGTCTGTCTGTGCGTCTGTCACCAGGCTGTATCTTGTGAACCGTGATAGTTAGACAGTTGAAATTTTTACAAATGATGTGTTTCTGTTGCCGCTATAACAACAAATACTAACAAACAGAATAAAATATTTAAGTGGGGCCCCCATACAAAACACATGATTTATTGCCATTTTTTTAGAAAATGGCTGGTTTTTATTGTGCATTTTTAACAATGGTATCCTTGGCCTCCAGTACCCCAAGTACCAAATTCAGGATATATTTCGAGACAGGAGTTTCTCAAAATTAAAATTGATATAAAACTTGATTATGCATAGATGTAATAGATTAAACAAATTTATTTTGATTTATTGTATTATTTTTTGTTAAATTCACAGGGCGATGTTATCACTCAGCGATATAGCTCTTTACCAAAATTATTTTTTTAAAAAGTTGATATATAATTGTTACTTAAAAGTGTGTATAATATTTGTTTTTATATTTTGGGTTCCTATGATAAGCCTCCGCTGATTATTTACGTTAACAGCACGTTTAACACAAGTTTCTCAGGGAAAAATAAAATAATATTCAACTCTCAATAAATATATAGATAAACTCTCTAAAAACTTGATATACAATCCATCTTAAAAAACATCGCAATTAGTGCAATAAAAGTGACAGCGAACAAAGAAACAAACAAAAAAGTCAATATGTCAAAAGTTCAACGGTCTCCTATCATGGCCAAATAATACAAATCAATATGATATATATCAAGATTTACCGTTCGAATTCCGAATGGATATGTAAGCCAAGAAAGTTCGGAACCCGTTTCCAATTCTTTAACAGAATTATCTCGAGGCAAAACCTAGGTGACTACTTTCACCTAAATAGTAACACAGCCGGCATGTAAATACTGTTGAATCTTGGCGTTTGGCGCCAAGCAACGTTCGCATGTATCCAGATTAAATCGGAACTAAAAATCGATTAGCGCGGTAAACGTCTGCAAAAATTGTCTATGAAAAAAATATATGTCAAATTTTTTATATCACGCAACTTTTTACATGCTACATGCATGTAAAAAGTTGCGTGATTTTAAAAATTCAATTTAAACTTGTACGTAATACTAGATACTTAGAATTTTTATTTTTATATTTTATTTTAAATAAGAGCATATTATTCGGTTAGAAAATGGAGCAGTACGATTTTTTTTTTATTATGTTTCAATTTGTTTTATCGTTAACGGCATCAACACTAAAAGAAAATTGAAACAGGCACACCGCTTCGACATTTTCTATGCAATGCTATAATGATTTTGTGCCGGTATTATATTTAAAATAAAAGTAATGCAAAAATTATTAAAAAAAAGATTATATCACATTTACATTGGATGCATGCGATCGTTGTTTATAATAGTGATAAATTATATCCGACTACAATATTATACCGGAAACCATAACACTGCGGAAGGTTGGACAATGAAGCACGTCTTTAGTCAGTATAAACTCACCTTAATTATGTACATCGTCAAGCATTGTCTTGATACTTTTACGTTTCTTTACACATATTTAATAATAAATATCTTATAATGTAGTCTGTATTTGAATAACGTTAGTGGAAAACAAATAACGACAGCATATCATTAGTAAATCAAAAGTAAAGTTTCAGCCAATACATGTTCCAATGTTGGGCAAAGGCCACTTCTGTACAGGGAGTATCAGCATATCATATTCCTTATTTAGTTACATCTCTCCTACATTGACACGTTTGTTCTAAGCTGTCATTTAAGACAGTTGACAGAGTGTGAATACTGGAACCCTTCTTGATTATTATTACCTCAGAACTTTCGATTGAGCGAACCGCTTTTGATGATTATTTTTTATTTGAAAGCTGGTGCTCTCCATGTGGCCCCATACTTTTTTTTTTAATTTAAAAAAAACGTTGCCATTACTTTAGGATAATATTATCCTGTGTTGTAATGACGTTTTACAAACATAAATTTCACGCAGACAAACACCCACATGCGAAACAACTATCTGTGGGTCTCACAAATAGTTGTCCCGTGTAGGAATCGAACCCACGACTCCTGACCCCGAAGCCAATAACTTGGCAACTGCGCCACGGAGTCATCATACTAATTCCATTGGTATTGTATCTTGGGCTCCGGAGATAATTAGGGAACTCTTGAAAATAAATTATAAAATTAATACAAAGCGAGATATTTGAAGTCGGTCTTGTTTTTCCTTCACCGCTGAGCACGTGATAATTCAGCGCATAAAATAAACAATTTCATTGGTGCCAGCACCGGGGATCTAACTCAGGTTGCTCGAATATGTTGAAGCAAAGGCGAGCGCATTTACTTCAACATATTCCCAGACACTGAGCTATCACGGCTTAACCTGAATGAATTAAAATTGGGACACATTTTTACACAAAGTTCTCTAGTTCCAAACTAAGCCACGCATGTTGTGTCTAGTACCCAGATAACTGATAAACATACTTAAATATACTTTTCTTTTGTAAATATATACATATTATAAATATAAAAATATTCAGACACTGGAAAAAGACCATGTTCATCACAAAATATTTTTCCAGTAGTGGGGAACGAACCCACACCCTCTGGCTCAAGAGGCAGTGTTACTATGTGTGTGTTAGTGCCAGATCTACTTTACTAATGAAGCCATTTCAATCATACACTCCAACGTTCTTCCTATTCAAAATAGTAACGTCTTTGCGAAAAATGTTATAGTATTTTGCAATCAATATTTAAATTTTTGTTTTCGAAAACAAATTGATCGATGAAGACCGTCCTTCTGATTATTTACTTATGATCATCTTTTTTAAGCTCGCATTAATTACGTTCTTGTCGTTAATGTCTAAATCGTAAACTAACACAAATAATTTTATTGCGTGTTTTGCAAATTACATCGTGATTGCTTCCATTAAATTGAAAGTTATCTAGATTTGTTTATCCAAGAGTATTTTAATAATAACGTAATTACTTTTTCATATCTAACAATAAAATTACACTTTAACGATTTGAAATGGCTGATGATATATAATATATGAAATCACTTCTTAATGTTACCATTAATTTGTTTATTCATTACATAACTATTGTAACTGTAAAGATGATCAATTTAGTCAAATTTTGACTAGGAACAATTTTAATGATTTAGGAGCATATTTTATTTTTTGTTCTCAAGTTTTGTTAATTTTTTTAATCTTGAAGAGTTTCTATTAAAAAACAAAGTCTAATCTATAAGTAATATTTCATAAATGACCCCGAACATAATTTTTGTTTCATCTATAGGGTAGAGCATAAGTAATCAATACGTTAGCATCTCTACCGTATCTGTGAATCAATGTATGATCTACTTACCGTAATTTTTGAAAAACAACGAATACCCGTGTATTCTCCCTTTAACTGATTATTATTTTCAATTAATCAACTGGATGGAAGAAGAAACGAAGAAACATATTTTTAATTGCATTAATCCTGCTATGTGAAGATATGAATCCAACGGGAAGTGCAAGTATATTCAATATAAGCATGAAATGATTTCAAAAACGTTTTGGGCGAACTAATTAGATAACTACAGAGCATTTTAAGATCGCCTTCCTCGTGGTAAGGTTGAAAGAGCTCCGAAGAAGTGGTGCTTTGAGGAACCTAATTGATAGTTCAGTAACTTATAACAAGATATGAATTATTAAGACTTTCCACAGAAACTGGAAACGGAAATCTCGATTTAAGAAGGAGAGTTTGTGTGCTTCTGGGACTACTCTTGTCTCTAACCTAAAAAATTATTCGACACCTCTTACTCATTACTGTAGCTATAAGTAGAGTGCGATTTTACCTAGCATTATATGTAAAAACTGAGAGTGACATAGCCTTGGCAATCTCGGTACAGATTAAATTAGCCATTAAATTAACATATATAGTTAAATTAACATGCGTATTAGTAGTAAGTTAAAATCCGTAAATAGTAATTTAAGTCAAATTGTATACCGTAAAAAAACATTAAAGTACCCAGTTTTGCTTTGAATTAAGAACCATTATATTGTGTTTTGTGTGTAATGGGTCACACTACCCAGTGAGTCCCAACGGCCACGATCTAAAAGACTACATTAATAGATCTAATGTATTCTTCCTTTTGAAATTGCCCCGTACTGTAGGATAACATTATTCTCTGTTGTACATACATCAATTTCACGTGACAAACACCCAAACAGTTGTCTCGTGTGGGAATCGAACCCACGAACCCCCGGTGCCGAAGAAACTGTGCCGACAAGTAATGTAAACCGTTAAACCTTTAAGTAAGTTGAAAACCTAGTCATGTTATTGGTATAGGCGTTTTTTATGTATCTTTTATGTTTTATCTTTTATGTCTTTTATTAATGACAGCTCAAGCCTTTTCCTCTTAGCGTGGTATCAATCATATCTCACAATGCGTTATAAATCGATAAACCTTATATTTACTGTTTCAATTCTCCACAAATACTGAAGTTGCTTTAATAATAAAATTTAAAACCTAACAACCGATAGTGTATGGGCATACACTTCGTCCAATAAATTTGGGGAAAGCTCCTAAATCTCGCAAGTGAATTAAAAGTAGAAATGATAACTTTTGGTTGTTTATTAATAATTGGTTAATTATTATTGGTTATTGGTTATTAATAATTAATAATTTGGTTGTGTATGAATAGAAAGACTGCACATTCCGTACACTAAACTCTGGAACAAATTACTCAGAGTACCGGTAAATTAACACTTATTTTATTTTAAGCATATTATATTACACTTTATGAAGTGATTTTTTATACTGCTGAATGAAGCGATAATTTAGATAACCTTTTGAGGATTTACGGTAATATGCTAAGTTTAAAATACGGACTAAGAAAAAATAAAAAAATTTTTGCTCATTTTTTTGTTTTAATTTTCATCACTACCTTCTATTTATTTTTTGCGGGAAGTAATCCGTGCAGCCTTAACATTGCCAACAGTTTGCGAGCACGTGAATATGTATTAAAATAAAAAATAAAATATTTACATCGCTTAATGTGATGTGCATAATCATAAAAATAAAGTTCTTTTTTTATTACTTTTCACAACACATAATTAACTTTTTTTAAATAGCTAATAAAGTAACGAACAAGAACGTGTACAACTGTCACTTTCGAAAGGATGAAAATTATCAATTTCTTAATATTTTTAAACATTAGAACTTTCATGTTTTATGAAACATTTAAAAAAATTGTAAATAGTCATTCATCGTTTATAAGTTATATTTCTAATACCTTTCTTTGCTGTTGAGAAATTTATCTCCCCACACTTTATTAACGTTGAAAAGATATATGTTTCCGCAATATTAACTCGTAACATTAAGTTAACTATCTGTAAGCAGGTTAAACAATTTTTGGAATTGTTCGGTATTAATCGGTAGTAAACCTTAAATAATTGAATTAGTTATAATTTTAATATGGAACCGATTTGGGACTACCCGCCAACATTGAATATTTTCAGTTGGTTTTTCTACAAACCCAAAATTCTTTGTTGTAGAATTTCAATATTAAAACCATCGACATATACAAATTCGTGAACGCAACGCATATGATTATGAATTTACAAATATAAACTTACTTATCGTCGCGAACAGGTACTGGTTGAGTCTCGTCCCATTTTGCCACATGAATTTCGATAGTAGAAAATTCATTTCACTTTTTTTTTTCAAACTCGCTTGTGTCACTGTTGAAATTTTATTCATCCAGACACTTTGGTGTCTTCTACCGGACTGGTTGAGGCGGTAGATGAACCGCTCGCATCTTAAAAAACGCGCGCTCGTTTAGTGTGCGTACTTTGTTTTTTTTTTAATTCACTTCACTATTGTTCTCGAACGTGGAAGTAAATTAATTGAACAAAAAAGATTATATGTAACCGTAGCGAATTTTTTTTATTTTGTATCTGTCAGTCGAGATTTGTCTTTTAACTATCAATCACGACTTAGTTTATAGTGTATTGTTTGCCATTTCGACGCGGAATTTATTGAAATGCTTACATAACGTAAATCGTTTATTTTTCAATTTGCAACCTTTGTTTGCGTTTAGAAATTTTTCATGGATCCCAGAGAATGTAAATATGTGTAGTACGGAGTAAGACTCGGATTCGAACGTACCTAAAACCTAAATGCATACATGTTTGACAATTTTACCAACACCTTACGTATTATGATAATTATTACGTAAGGTATACGTATTATAATGACTCGGTGGTGCAGTTACTGAAGTCTTAGGTTCGATTCCCACGCGGGACAAATATATGTATGACGCACAAATAATTGATCCACATATGTATATTTGTCTACGTGAATTATTTATATAAACGTTAAGTATGAATGTTATCCTAAATAGGGAAATTATTTAAAATATATATGTAATTAATATTAAATAAATAAATTCAACCTAATTGAAGTGTTTAATACAAAAACCAGGTGAAATTTTATTGTCGTGATATTTTACCATAGATGACAATTGAAAAGCATTCTAGGCGTCACGAATGAAATAATAAATACTTAAAACCGTTTTATTGCGTCGAGTTTTATGTTTTTAGCGTATACGTCGATTTGTACCGTTAAAGAAATGCATGAAATCAGTAAGTCTCGAATTTTCTACAAATATAACGGGACCTACTACTATTGCTCTGGAATTTGAACGTGACAAATGAGTCTGCAATTGAAGTATGCTCTAAAAAAAATTTGCATATCATTTCGAAAAACTGTATGTCCAATTTATGAAAAAATAAACGAAAAAACCTCTTTGCATAACATCTGACAGTGTAATTGTAACAGAAAGACGGATTGTCCGAAAAAAATGCAGTTATATTTATGTCGCCAGCGACATTGGTCTGCACATTTCAATGACCTTTTACATCAGTTCCTATTACAGTACAAAGAAAATGAAATATATCTATGTCATTTGCAATTTCAAAGGAGATTTCCCAACGCTTCGGCGATTTACGTAAAGAACTGAACAATCGTAGGCTTTGTACATTAACTATTACTATTATAATGATAGATAGAATTTGTGCATGAGATAATACTCGTAAATAAATAAATATTTCAGGGCACATTTTTACACAACGTAGCCTCAAACTAAGTACTACGGTCACTAGGCAACTGAAAAAATCTATGGACAATCAAAAACCAGAAAAACACGAGCGAACCCACAACACCCTCTGGCGCCAATCGGTCGTTTCTTTACATTCTTACAACGTCCCAGCATAGAATGACATACTCTTTTTATTACATAATCTCCATTGTAACTCAAATGTTCAACTGTTTTCGTATTTAACAAAACACAATTCGAACCACCGATGAAACAATCGACAATATACAAGTGATGCAAATTAAAACGCCGCACACGTTCGCAGCGTGTAAATTGTAATAGGTCAAGTGCATTCATTAGCATTAGCTTTGTATTGGTAAACATTGCTGCCGATCGAACGGTCCAGCGCTGATTTTCCAGGGGTTGGCTTATCCTATTACAAGCCATTATGGCATCACTAAGACCATCAAACGACCCATTTGGCGTAGTGGTCGGGAACCCTGCCTTTTGCGCAAGGGGTTCGATCCCAACTACTGGAAAAATATTGTGTTAAGAACATTGTGTTTGTCTAGTGTATTAATTAACAAAATAAAAGTAATAATGTTAATAATGTTTAAGTATGTTTATCTTTACCTAGTACCCATAGAACAAGCTTTGTAATCTGGATATAGATAAAGTTATGTAATAATATGTCCCGAGATGTATACTTATTATTTATTAAAATTTTATATCATCAAGAAAATATACCTACGACACCTTTTATATACCCCTGATAGCCACATCAGAAGCATACACTAGAAGTTTCGCATCGGCAGAATTAAGGCTATCCTATGGTTATGGCCTATTATCATGTCTCAATTTTCGTGTCACGAATACCAGTACCGTTGGAATGCTCTGGTGTAAAAATTTCACCTTCAAAACTAACTCTATAATGTAATTCTAAACTATCGACGCATGCTCATATCCTTTTCTATAACTTGACTTAATTCTCACAAATTCCTAGTGTTTAGTAAAACTGTTTTACGATATAATAATCCGTTAAATCGAAATATATTAATTGACAGTAGCTTGGATTTAATCTGCCAGTAAGATGTAAAACAACTTTGTTTTTTCCCATGACGAATGACGCTTTAAAGTGTTCGAAACACCGGGAATTTAAAAATAAAATAAAACGCGATAAAAACCGGCAACACTTCTTTACGATATATAATCTTTGGTGACTGAGACATTCGTCTTGTAATGCGCCATCGAGTTTTTTGGTGTTTGGGATTCTTATGTACGAAGAATCACGTCTGATATTTGAGCAAGATATAAGCTATGGGTTCAATAACTTTCCGGTTGCGGGTTTAAGAAGTTCGGTTAAGTGTTAATCAAGCCATTTTGAAAAATGCGTCATTTTTGTCCTTCTTATAACAAGGTTTGTGAAAATTTGCACGAGACTGTTGTAGACGTAACGTTTTTAAGTAACAATGAGAGTAGACTTATAATAAACTAGCTTTTCGCCTGCGGCTTCGCTCGCGTTGAAGCGCTTAAATAAATATCTTTCTTTTAAAAAAATCCAATAAAAATAGCCTATGTCCTTTCTCAGGCTCTAGACTATCTGTGTATCAAATTTCATTTAAATTGGTTCAGTAGTTTTGACGTAAAAGCCAGACAGACAGAGAGAGTTACTTTCGCATTTATAATATTAGTATGGATACCCTTATATATATTTCGATGTAATACATATCATAGTATTTTTTAGATAACGTAATTTTAATGTGTTTTACAACTTTAGTACATTAATTAACAATGACCTAATTGTGTAGCATGTTCTTACATATTTTTGAGGTCTATGTTCAATTAATGTACACTAGTAAGATAAAAGCTACCGATCGAGCCGAGGTCCGGCCCCCTCGGGCACCCTCGAATCTGAATGCTAAACGGACATTAAGTAACAGCCACGGACCCACCGTCGCGGGGCCCGCCGGATAACACTACACCAACAGCTAGTGTAACAACAAACAATAGTTCGCCCACGCCTCCGAGCACGGCGAGACCAGCACAACGCGTACACAAGGTACACCCGCGTTCCAGGGCGGTTCTCACCGCCCCCAGCCACCGATTAGCTAAAAACACAGTCGACGGCCATCGGGGTCCCGGTCCGAACCGCAACCTCAATGGCCCTTAGATGACATACCATAGTTAAACGCACGTATGAGCACATGCGCGGCCCTACCCAAACCCGTAGGTGCTGGCTAGCCCACCGGTGAAGCTTTAATAGTCTCGGGACTGAAAGTAAAAACATCAGTTAATACAAGATACAAGATGAGTAACAGCCCAAGCCGACAGCCCTTGTCTAGTTACTCCATGGAGCGTCCGCCAAAGCGACCTAAGAGCTTGGCGGCTTCCCAACCCGATCCTAATAGTAACAGAGTGACGGCAAATATGCTCTTATTTAATATATTATGAGATTGAGAAAAAATATGAAAATGAGAAAAACATGTCCGCAACCTCCACGGACAAAGTACAATGACCACTTTTATATACAGTATATTAATCAAAAAGTAGATTTAAATTGTTTATAGTGCTAATCTTTGCACTTAAGATTGTACATTAAAATATGTAGAAAAAAAAAGTGCGAAAAGATTTTCGCCGCTGTGGGAATCGAACCCACGTCTTTGGCATTCGCGGCCTGACGCTCTAGCCACTGAGCTAAACGGCTGATGACCACACCGACGAAAATCTTAACGCATTCCTCTACATTGTTTTCTTAGCATTTGAAGCAATGCTTGGCGCCATCTATTGTTATATCCTTTCCAGCATACAAACAATTTCGAATATCGTTTTACAACGATAATTCGAACGAGAGATGTCGCCATTTCTTTTTTAGAAATTTAAATTGTTTATAGTGCTAATCTTTGCACTTAAGATTGTACATTAAAATATGTAGAAAAAGTGCGAAAAGATTATCGCCGCTGTGGGAATCGAACCCACGTCTTCGGCATTCGCGGCCTGACGCTCTAGCCACTGAGCTAAACGGCTGATGACCACACCGACGAAAATCTTAACGCATTCCTCTACATTGTTTTCTTAGCATTTGAAGCAATGCTTGGCGCCATCTATTGTTATATCCTTTCCTTTTCGCACTTTTTCTACATATTTTAATGTACAATCTTAAGTGCAAAGATTAGCACTATAAACAATTTAAATTTCTAAAAAAGAAATGGCGACATCTCTCGTTCGAATTATCGTTGTAAAACGATATTCGAAATTGTTTGTATGCTGGAAAGGATATAACAATAGATGGCGCCAAGCATTGCTTCAAATGCTAAGAAAACAATGTAGAGGAATGCGTTAAGATTTTCGTCGGTGTGGTCATCAGCCGTTTAGCTCAGTGGCTAGAGCGTCAGGCCGCGAATGCCGAAGACGTGGGTTCGATTCCCACAGCGGCGAAAATCTTTTCGCACTTTTTCTACATATTTTAATGTACAATCTTAAGTGCAAAGATTAGCACTATAAACAATTTAAATTTCTAAAAAAAAAGAAATGGCGACATCTCTCGTTCGAATTATCGTTGTAAAACGATATTCGAAATTGTTTGTATGCT